CTCCGGCCCTGGAGAGCGCCCGCGCTCAGACCCCGCGAGCCCCGAGCCCAGGCCAGCGTCTGGGGCGCACGCATGGCGGGGGCCCAGCCCCGAGCAGCTCACCGGCCAGCCTCTCCCAGCAACAGCGCCCAGCGCGGAAGACAGGCCACCCGGCCCGCGAACGCGCTGTGGGGTCCGGGTGTGCGGAGAGGGAAGTTCCGGAGCCTGCAGCGACCCAGCTGCGCTCCCAGGTCGGCGTCTCCGCGGAGCTGTCCCACTCGCCCTGCGCCCTGCGGGGCTGCGCTGCGGCTTGACTCTGAAATTTCCGCCGACCGGGTCATCCGCTGTCCTGGCTGCTCCGGGCTTTCGACACCGAGGACGCTCCCAGGGAAATGGCTAACAGACTGGCGAGGGGCGCGGGAGCAGTTGCTGCCCAAACCCCAACAGGAGCAAGTTCACGCCCCGCGGAGGCAGGGATGGAGGCCCCGGGGAGAGCAGGCCCCTTCCCCTCGGCCCACCCAGGACGCTCTCCCAGTGGGGCGGCGAGCAGGTGTCAGGCACTGGCTACCCCGGGAGCCGACTCCGAGCCTCGCCCTGACGCGCGCTGCTGCGGACATCCTAAAAACCTTTACCCTTCAAACACAAATTATGGAAATTTAATCTTTCCCCCCCGGGATCCCAGCTGCTATTGCCTGTGAGGACTCGCTTCCCTTCTCCTCAGCCTCCCTCTGCGTCTGCGGGGCGGGGACCTTTTGCATTTGAACTTCGCGCAGTTTGCTATTTTCGTCGAAGCTCGCAGGAAGCTGGAGCCCGGCGCTGCTCGAGTGCGCGCGCTCCAGGCTCGGAGTAGTGAGAAGGCCGGGAGCACAGATGAGAGCTACGTGCGTTAGAGCAATGGTTAAGGGTGCAGAGGCAGTGATGGCACGAAGAATTTGATCTTTTAAACTAGCGCGGCGGAGTCCGAGCTCTAATCCAGGGTGAGGTGGGAAAGCGCAGCCGCCGGTTGCAGCTCCGCGCCCCGCGGGAAGGGCCGCAGCGCCCCCTGGAGGCGCAGGCCGAGCACTTCGAGGCGCCCGCCGCCGGGTGTGAGCGCGTGGCCGCCAGATATCTTGCCCGCCGCTGGGCTCCCTTCACGTGGACCTGGCTCCCTTTTGCGCTGACCCAGAGTAGTTTGCGCGGCGCACGTTGTAGGGGAAGGGGCTGGTCCTATTGCGGGCCAATAAACCATTCCATCCCCACTGCTGGATCCTCTAGGGGAACCCCACGCGGCGCCTCCCCCCGCGATATTGTTCCTAGCGAGTTTCTAAAATGAATTTGAGGATCCCTGACGCCCCACCGGGCTGCCGAGGTCCCCAGGACAGAGGGGAAAGACACACGTTCCGACCTCGACGCAGGGAGGTCCCTGCCCCTCGGGTCGGACCCCAGCAGATTCCAGGGCCTGGGACTTTGTCCCAGCGGGAGGTGCAAGCAGGGTTTCTCAGGGGACCTCTTTGCGAAAGGCTGTCCTCTGCTGCAGCCTCCGCCTCGCAACACCCAAGCATTTGAAGCCGGGTCGGGCGCGGATTCGCCGGCGGGCCGCGGCCTCCCGATCGCGGAGGGCTGCAGGAGGTGCGGGAGATTGCGCCGCTGCTTCTGGGGGCCGAAGGGCTCGAGGATCGCACCCCACTCCAACCATCGAAGTGGGCCGGGCCGACCAGCGCCGGCGCCGGAGCCTCGGCCTTCCCCCGAGGGAGAGCGTGAGCGGGAGACACTTCGGCCCAAAGGCCTTCTTTCTCCGCGGGCCTGTGCCTCCGCTGCACTTCTTTCCGCACGGCCCCCTGCGGGCGCCCTTCTGGTTCCCAGCTTTCGAGCCCAAGTCGCCGCCCAGGGGAGCTGCGCGGGGAGGCCAGCACGGGGTCGCAGGGAAGGTTACGCGGCCAAGCCTGAGGACAGACCCTTCCTGCAGCCAAGGTCCCGCCCAGGTTTGGGTTTTCCAAGTGAGGTTCTCGGCCACATCAGCATCAAATACCAGGGCAGACCCTGGGCCGCCCTGCGAGAGCTGTTGCGCGGTGCCACCGCGGACCCGGACAGGTCTCAGGGAGCGGCGAGCTGTGACCCGGCCACTCGCTGAGGATGCGCGCGCAGGATCCCAGGATGCGGGTGGACCGGGCGCGCGTTCGCCTTCCAGCGCCGCCAGGGGAAACAGATCTGCAGTTTCCCTTGCCTGAGAGCCAGGTTCACGCCTGTGATCCGATTCAAAGACCCACTTGCGTTCATGGCGCTTTTCTAACCGGGCCAGTCAGTGTCTGCGAAAAAGAAAACGAGAGGCAGTGGAGGGCAAGACCCGGGGGCATCTCAGGGTGAAGCGTATTGAGCATGGGGACCCTCTGGGACTGCCCCACTTGCCCAGTGTGACGCTGGCCTGCTCTTGCGCTCGGAAAAGATGGTACTCAGAGAAGAGTCTGCAAATGTGTGTGTGTGAGTGCGTGCGTGTGTGCGTGTTTAAATCAGGCTCCCACGTTTGTGCACGTGTGTTAAACGGACCTTCTAACGCTTACACAGAAGGAAAAAGAACGGAAATCGTGATTTCCAACGAGCTCCATTCCTATGGGGCAGTGATCCGGCCAGAGCTGAGCGGCTTTGCTTTCCTCTCCTCTCTTTGAGGTCTGTTTTTAGAACGTTGGACAAGAGGCTTCCTTGGCCTTTCCAATTTTCCCTGCAGAACCTCCTTTCTGGGATATGCGGATATGTCTAAAGTTAACCTCAAGAGCAGCGGTTCTTAAAGTGTGGTCCATCAGCATAAGCTGGAACTTGTTACAAATGCAAATTAGCTGGCCCCACCTACTGAGTCAGAAACTGGGAGTGGACGCAGCAAGCTGTGTTTAAACAAGCCCTCCAGGTGATTCTGATGCACGATAAAGTCTGAGAATCATTGACCTAGATCAAATTGACATTTGGCAGTGATGGTCAACCCATCAAACCCCCCTCCTCCCGTCCTTCTGTCTTCCTTGGGGACAATGCAAACATAAACACCTGGCCTGGAGCAGCTTTGTTCATTCATTCCTCAGCTCACTCTCCCTTCTGAATTTCCAGAGGCACATTCCAAGTTTCTGGAAACTTGCTAAGAATACCCAAGGGCGCTAGGCACGACCCCTTCCCAAAAGGAGTCATGGATGGATGTGTAGGGCAAAGAGCAGAAGAGAGAAAGCCATACTGGTACTCTTCTGTTTTGTGACCAGGTGTTCATTATCATCATAATCTAATACCAGATTTGAGATGAGTTCAGGATATGTCCCGGTTAGGGACTAAGTGAACAGGAGCGTCACACCTCATTTAAATTTCTAAACTTATTGGGACTCTCACTTCTGCTCCTCATCCAGGCTGACGTTATTTTCTTATTTTTACCACCTGCTAGGGATCCTGTGTTTGCTGCACACACTTGAACGCACGCCTTGATGCACATTGCCTGCACCTCTCCCACCGTCTCAGCGTTGGGTCAAAGCAGATGACACCATGGACATGGGTGTGTCATGAGCTGCAGGATTAGTGTGTGCTGTGGACTAAGGCTGGGAGCCTGTACTGCCTGGGTTACCCTCAGGCTGTGCAGGACTCAAACGACAGACAAAACTGGTGCATGTACACATTCAGCTCCCAATCTGGGCCACTGGTGTCCATCAGCTCTTATTCTGAGAGCCCTACTGCACCAGACTCCCAGCTCCCAGCTCCCAGCAAGTCAGTCATGTCTGGGAGAACACCTATTTATCAATTTAAGATCAGATCAAGTCCTTTTCCCCACCCACCCCAGAGAAACTAAAAATCCAAATGAAACCCACAGTCTGGCTTTTTTTTTTTTTTTTTTTAATGCCAAATCAACCTCCCTGAAGACTTTACTTCATACTTTCTCTCTAGGATCTTAACTACAACTTCCAACCTCAGCCAGCCAAAGAGCTACCTCCACTGGACCATTTGCTTCCCTCAGAGATTTTTTAGTTGTGACCAGTGAGAGTGGAGGGTACTTTGCCTCATGTAAGTATTGAGTCTTTCAAAAATCCAGTGTAACCAGAAGTCTTTTGTCTTCTCTCTTCAGATTTTAAAAAAATTTCAGTCAATGTGGCTAAGGCACTAAAGACATAGGCAAAGATGAATTTTCGTACTGACCATAGTCATAAAGTACACACAAGTACTTCATCTCCACTTTGACAAAGAGTTGCTATTTTTAAATGACCTTTTCTTATGGGGATTTTCAAAATACAAAATGTATAATGGTCAGGAACAGGATAATCTCTTCACAACCACTAATCATATTTCTTAATAGGATTTTGCTCCTCAGGGTAGGTGATTTGACACAGTAACATTCAAAGCAGCCAGCACTTAGGAAATGCCAAGGCCAATATTTGAATTCAGATACAGGTTTTAACAAAAGAAAATGTATATCCTTGTAGCTGTTTGCCTATGAATATTCCCCAGAGGATTATACACTCTTCTTGAACTCAATCCAAGTCAGCAAACTCTAAAAAGCCTGTGAGGTGCCAACTCATAGGGTACATAAAATTGCTTTTCAACAAATATATTTGACCGTCAACATGTACCACATACTGGGCACTGGTGTTACTGTGTGAAACCCTGCACTTTCATCCTGACCTGGGAGCAGGGGAAAGGGCAAAGAAAGTGGGACTTTAATGCTGGTTTCCCCTGGTTATGTTAAATTGTTAAAGTATTTGTACTTAACAGTAATCCTTAAAACATTTATTGAACTCTCTTACAATTTTAGGTCATTTTTACAAGTCAAGGAGAGAAAGTCAGTGTTTCAGCCAGCTCATTTATTGGAAAGTCAATGCCAGCATAGGCTTAGCTTTTGGCTTTCCACCTGGAAGGCAACATGTTATACTAATGTTATTCCACATCGTGCCAGGTGATAATTTAGCTGTAGATTTCTGATTATTGGTGGCTATAGTTCACTCAAGCCTGTTTTCACCTCCTGACTCTGGAAAGGGCTGCAGAGAGAAAACAAATACTTTTTCCTCTGGCACCCTTGTTGGAGGGAGGAGTCCAGGAAGTGTAGATAGTTAGATTGCCTCCATCTTTTAGATCCTTGATGGAACATGGAGCAGGACCAGCTCAATTGCAAGCTTCAGAGAATCCAGGTCTTACAGTAAGAAGAGATGAACTCTGTTATCTTTGCCTCTGAGCTCAAAATAAAGGTAATGACACTGGATCTGGGGAGGTGACAGTATGATAGGCTGAAAGGCCCATGCCATGCCCTATATTACAATGCTTTGTCACCTTGCATGTGTTACCCGTGTATTCCATTTATACTCACCTGACCCTTCTTTCTAAGTCCTCTCTCCCTGAACCCCTTTTGACCCCTGCTGGGCAAGCAGGCTTGCTACCAGGAGTCAGACTGGGTGGAAACTATGACATCAGGACACCAGGCCACAGTGCTTCTAACATTTGTCAGGCCAGGGTTGCCTTTTTCTTTCTCTGGAAAAGTACACAAAGTGCAAGTTTCTTCCCAGGCCATGAGGCACACGTCCAAATGCCCTCTGTGGGGGGCCCGCCCAAGCCCAGGAGAGTGTGGAGGAGAGCATGAGTGTGTCATATGGGTGTGTCCGCAAGCCCCGCTCCACTCTGCCTCATCCTTGACCACATTGTCTTGACAGGCCGTATGGCCTGGGAGTGACCTGGAATATATGAAGAACTTGGCTTGTTGGACACATGGAGAGCAAGGGAGCAACGGCAGAGTGGGATTTTATTTTATTATTATTTTACAATTTTATTTTATTTTAAAATTATTTTATTGCCATACATAATAATTACATTCATCTTGGGGAACTGGCCTATACATATTTACATATATTCATATATACATCAAATGTTGATCATTTTTACTCCTTCCTTTCTCCCTCCTCTGTCCCTCCATCTCCAGACCCCCTTCACATCTCCACAAAGTCTATTTCCTTGTTTCCTATCATCTTTCTTTTATTTACTCTTTAAAAAGTTTGTAGTTGGGTGTGGTGGCAGAGGCCTGTAATCCCAAGCACTCAGGAAGCTGAGGCAGGAGGATTGCTATGAGTCTGAGATCAGCCTGGGCTACATAGTGAGTTTAAGGTCAGCCTGATTTACAGAGCAAGACTCTGTCTCAAAAAATAAAATAAAATAAAATAAGATAAAATAAAAACTTTGTATTTTTGGTCTCAGAGAAATCATGTGATATTTAATCTTCTGTTTCTGATTTATTTTATTTAGAATTATGGTCTCAAGATCCATTCATTTTTCTACAGTGTCTCAAATTTGTTCTTCTTTATGGCTGAGCAGCACTCCACTGTATACATACCACATTTTCTTTTGTCCATTCATCTGTTGATTGACA